GCAGGGGTAATGACTCTTGCTTGATTCCAGCTGCTATTGCCAATTCCCAGATGAACTGGTTTCCTGGCTGTCTGTTTGGGCAGTTGTTTGTGTGATTCATATAGTAAAACTATTGTTTCTTTATGTTTCCATTCTTTTCATGGAAAATCAAACCCTCATTTATCCTCGTGTCTCAGCAGAGGAAACTAACCCTGCTGTTGAGCAGAGAGATTTATATTAGCATGTCTACCCTTGTTTCAAGTTTTTTTTCACCACCTGAATAGCTCTCCTGGTCACTACTGACTGGCACAGGATGTATTTTGGCAAGATGATTGCGCACTCAGACTTTTGGACATCTAAGCTATTGTGAGGCATTCCCTCTAGTATTAAATGCTTTTCCTATTATGTTTTGACATAGATACTCAGCACACAGTTTGCATGTGTTCATTTTGAAACTCCCATGAATCAATGAATCATATGAATCCCATGAATCATGAATCAATGAATCTCTTTCATAGTCAAGCAGTCTTTAGCATGGATTGGGTTTAAGGGCCAATGTAATCAGCTTTGAATGAGTCACAGTAGTGGTTATGTTCTGAGAAAAGCAGTCAGACTTACACAAGCCAGATCAAAGTATAATTATATATGAGGTGAGTCCTGGGTACATTGCGCCAATCCACTTCACCATAACAACAGTGGGAGTGACTGCAGCATGGTACCCCCTTGGCCTGAGTGCTCCTGGCTCTTATGTGTCCTTTTGCCCACCCTCTACCCCTCCCGCCCTCTCTGTGCTCCCTACATGCTGTGCCCCCAGCACCTTGTCCCTGCCGGCCAGTCAGCCCCCAGACTTTGGCCCTTATGGCCTCAGGGCTCAGTATTAACAACATCAATTAATATTAATTAACTATAGACATTAATTAATAATACAACTATAATGTTTATATTGTAACAGTCATAATATACGTGTATTGTTTTCTTAAATGGGGTGCCACTAACTCCTGAAAAGTTTGAGAGGGGTGCCTTGCATCTGAAAAGATTGAGAACCACTGGACTAACTAAATGGGAGATTCATAAGCTTTTCTGAAGCCAAGCATACTTCATCTAAACACAGTTGAAAAGATTTGCATTGTGTCAGTTATGTATCTTTAATGTTTACTTCTGGGCCTAATTTTTTCTCCTTGGTAGATTTTTTTTTTAAATGGTTGAGGTCTCAACCACCAAAAAAATGTTAGAACCCAAGTAAGAAAGTCCAGTGAAAGAGGCACTGTAATATCAAAAGATGTAAAGCTCTTTGAATGTTGTTCTAAGATGTTCCATGCTCTTTTACCTCTGCTGAAGTCCATGCTTGCTTATACTTTTCATCTCTCTCATCAGTGGCTTGTACAAGACCCTTCAATCCTGCATCTGCCATGTTCATACTAATCCTCTTCCCCTTCTGGTGACTGCCAAGTCAGAGAGCAGGCAAGCAGCTTCCTGTGATGCCCATGCATCTTTCTAATAAGGCAACAGTATGAGCTGTCAGGCTTTTCTCCCTGGAGACCAAATGTATCTTTTCCGTGATACACTCAGACTTTGCTGGCCTGCGGCACAAGAATTTTGAGTCTGTCTTTGCATCTGGCTCTTCTTTGGATGGCAGCATGGAGAGCTGCTGCTGCTGCTACTACTTCTGCTACTCACCCTTAGGCCCTCTCACACACCTAGATTTGTTTCTTGAGCTGACATTAAAAATTTAAGTACATGGAAACTGTTGTGCATGCAATTGCACCAAGTTATATGTTGGATGCCAGCCCCAGAAAAGCCCATGAACTGCTG